ACTACATCTGATAGCAGAAAAAGTTAAAGATGAAATGTTACTTATAATAGTTTCTTCATCGTTTTGAGGGCGTGGACTTCTTTACTGTGACGTCAAACAGTTCATGACAGAACGAAATGGGACATCATCGAGTAGAACATGAGCGAAAGGACCAACGAAGTCATTCTTTCAACGGTGAATGCTGTCGCATGTCAAACAATATAACATACCTGGTGTCGGTGGTGCTGGTATTGGTTTCGGTACAACTGGAGATGGTTTGGATGGAGACGGCTTCGGTACGTCTGAATGAAAAAAAAACAATATTATTACCATTTAAATGAGTTCATAATGACACTATGAAAATCGTTGCTTCTATTCAGTGGCTATGCCACAATCAATCCAATATGAGGTCGAGAAAACAAAACAATTTCATCCCGCGATTCCTTTTATCTCGATTGTACTTGCAAAAAACAACTCATGTTCTTGAGAAGTCTAAAATTTTCTCTTCGCTGTTTATTTTCGTATTCCAAGAGAACGAAGAAGAATACCTATGTGCTTCGGCTATGTTGCAGTCATAGATGTTGCTAGGAGATCGTCTGATAAGCCGGATATCTTTCATACAACTTTGACTAGTTGCAGTTATGGACAGAAAGTCGGCTTCACTCACAGTATTCTTTCATTCAATTGCTTGAGCTCTCTATACGTACTAACTAACCATACACTAACTACGAGAGTTACATTAAATACCACAACTAGTGAACTGCATCGGGTATTTTTCGGGTTTGAGTAAACAGTAAATAAAAACTTTACACCAATATCAAACTCGTTTTTTGAAGTGTGGGTTCGACAGAGAAGTTGTCCAGCTTCCAAATGGTATGCCTTGGTTCGGGAAAAATAATCAATCCATGGAATTAGAGAAGAAAAATATACGAAAAAAATCGGAGTCCGATTTAAACCCGATTCCGATTTTTTTTGCGATCGTTTTATATGTAGAACTGCAGAAATAAAATGTTTTTCAAATCCAAATGCATCATTCGAAAGCTAAAAGATTCCACTATCAAATTCACATCTCGAAAAAGCGTTTGATCTTGATTTAAAGTTTTTATTTACTATTTAATCAAAACCCGAAAAAAACCCGATGCAGTTTACTACCCGTGGGTATCTGCAAATAATAGCACTTGAGGACCCATGGATACCTTCATATAGTAGAACATGAGGATCTCTGGGCACCT